TACTCTTCTCTGCTGCCAGGAGGCGCTCCTCGAGGAGGTCAACGGTGAGTGTGGTGGGGCAAACAGAGAGGAAGTGGTCCCTGACCGAGCGAAGGGAGTCAGGGAGCCGGGTGACTATGTAGTAGAGGGTGATGTACATGGGGGGGGGGTTCTTGGCGCAGAACTCAGCAGGAAGCGCAGCGCGGTAGCGGGTGTCACTAGTGCGAAGGTGCGTAATGAGGTCAGCGACTGTGGGAAAGGCGGCGAGGTCAGGGAACAGGTACGGCAGCATGAGGCGGCTAAGGGCAGCAGTGGCAGGGGAAGAGTAGCGTGCAACTACAGCGTCGTACAAGGTCTTAGCACTCTTGTACTGACTAAAATGCGCACGCTCAGCGGTCGGTAAGTGGCGACGCACAGCAAGACGGGCAGCAGCATCGCGTGTGGCCCACTGTGAGCGAACAGTGCTGTCAGCATCGGCAGGAGGGGCAGGAGAGGCACCAGAGGTGAGATCGAACAGGGAGAGTCCGTCTGTCCTATCGCACTGTAGGAAAAGCTGCAGGTCATCGACCCAGACCTCAAAGTCAACAGCCCGACCCTCAGCATCAAAGGTAAGGACACTGGGGGTAGCCATGACAGCAGCAGTCTAGCAGTGAGAGCAGTAGGCTAGGGGCAGCTCAGTGGCAAAGGCGCTGCTCGGGAGTGCTCTCACCAGTCCGGGTGGGTAGGGCCGAGGCGCGCCGGCAGGAACAGGGCCGGAACTGCGGCGTCGGCGGCTCGACAGCGGCAGCAGCGGCTCGGCGGCGGCGGCGGCTCGACGGCGGCTCGGCGGCAGCGGCGGCGGCTCGACAGCGGGGGCTCGACGGCGGCGGCGGCGGCTCAGCGGCTCGGCGGCTCGGCGGCGGCCGCAAGAGGGCGGCAGGAGGGCCGCGAGAGAGCTGCGACGGGGCCGCGAGGGGGCGGCGACGGGGCCGCGAGAGGGCGGCGACGGGGCCGCGAGAGGGCGGCGACGGGGCCGCAAGGGCGGCGACGGGGCCACAAGGGCGGCGACGGGGCCGCAAGGGCGGTGAAGGGGGCCGCTGAGGGCGGCGACAGGGCCGCTAGAGGGCGGCGACGGGGCCGCGAGAGGGCGGCGACGGGGCCGCAAGAGCAGCGGCGGGGCCGCAAGGGCGGCGACGGGGCCGCTGAGGGCGGCGACGGGGCCGCTGCGGGCGGCGAAGGGGCCGCGGAGGGCGGCGACGGGGCCGCTAGAGGGCGGCGACGCGGCCGCGAAGGGCGGCGACGCGGCCGTTAAGGGCGGCGGCGGGGCCGCTAATGGCGGCGACGGGGCCGCGAGAGGGCGGCGACGGGGCCGTATAGGGTGGGGCCGCGAGGGGCCGCTAAGGGCGGTGACGGGGCCGCGAGAGGGGCCGTGAGAGGGCGCGACGGGCCGCTATGGGGAGGACGGCACACAGGGCGCGCCTCGGTCAGGAGCGACTCGCTCTCCGGGCAGAAAAAAAAAATTTTGATTTTCAGTGGTGGGCCCTAGGAACAGTTCCCACTAGGGAACCTGCTCTATACCATGTGAAAAAATGAGGAATGAATGATGAACTAGGAAATGAGTTGGGTACAAATATGAAACCCTAGAAAGCTGTACCCCATACTGTCTACCCCACTACAGCCTAGAAAGACTATAGCATATAAGTTTGACAGATTGCGAACGTACAATTTCGCAGCATGGCATATGAGGTCTGGCTAGCGCATGCGCAACGGCAATCGGGGAAGAAGCGGGTAGATTTCGCAGACTGGCGGCGCAACAAAATTTAGCAGTAAGGAGCTGCAGGATTACATGGCACAAAATGGGATATCACATCACGTCTCACTCCCCTATGCGCATCCGCAGCAGGGCGTCGTCAAACGCACCAACCGCACCCTTATGAAGAAGGTGCGTGCACTACTGAATTAGTCCAAGCTTCCCGCAACATACTGGTCGTACGCTATGCACCACGCCATGCAGGTGCATAATCTCCTCTCCACCACGGCCATCATGGGGAAGCTATTGCCGCATGTGAAGTGGACGGGCAAGAAGGGCGACACATCCATGCTTCGCGTGTGGGGGTGCATGGTGCAGTATCGGCCCCCTACCTCAACCATCGGCAAATTTACAAGCAGTGTACGCTGGGGCATCCATCAAGGCATCGGCTACGAATACAATGCATTGATTATCCTGGACCTGCTCAGAAACAAAATTACAAACGCGCGCGACGTCATCTTTTACGAGTGACTCAATCTCGATCAGTACCGCGCGGATGAGCAGGCGGGAGCAAACCGGGTCTACGCGAATGACCGGCACAGCTATGCTACTCCCAAAGACGATGCCGTTGCTGCCATCCTGGAGCAGGATAACACCAGTAAGTTCCCCAACATCGGTGATGATGACGACGATGACGACGATGACAGCGACGACTCGCCTCTGGGACCTGCTAGAGGAAGCAGTGGGGACCTCGCACCGCCTTCTCCACCTGAGCTAGAGAGTGACGACGACGTGCAGGAGGTTGTCCCGCAGCATCGCCATGATAGCACCATCTCCGGGCTGGAACTGTTGGGTTTGCAAACCGCCATCTCCACGGCTCTGCGCGTCATCGAGCACAAGAACCCGCATATCACGGAATGACGCGAAGCCATGGACGCAAGAATTGAATTGGTGCAGTCCCGTGATACCAGGGTGCTCGTCGATCGCGCGGCGATTAAAGGAAGGGTAATCCTTTTGGTGAAGTGGGTCTTCCGCGTGAAGACCGCAGCAAACGAGACGATCGAGCGCTTTAAAGCACGCTGAGTGGTATGAGGCTACGACCAGAGGCACGTCATAGACTTCGACTAGACCTTCACTTTGTTCAGTAACCATTCCTCCGTGAGAATCCTGCTCACCATCGCTGCGGCAAGGAACCTGCTGCTCCGCCAGATCAACGTGAAGAACGCGTTCCTGTACGCGTTAGTGGATGCAGTGATTTTCGTGGAGCAGCTGCAAACCTATGGCGAGGAGGACCCGCGTATTTCTCAGCTAAAAAGGTTCCTTTACGGGATCAAGCAAGCTCCACGGCTCTGGTAGCAGCGCCTGCACAAAAACCTTCTCGAGATAGGATTCACGCAGCTGCCGCACAACCCACGCATGTATACCCTGTATTTCTTTTGTGATTACATCTTGCTCACCGTGTATGTCAATGACCTGCTCTATACGGGGACAAGCAAGACGCTGCTCAACCAGTTCGAGAAGAACCCGGTGATGCGCGACGACATTACCACTAATCACGACGTGAAGCACTTCTTGGAACTTAACATCACTTACGCTCCAGAAGCCATCCACCTATCAGCTCCCAAGTAGGATGAAACACTTGAAAAGCTCTTCAACATCTCCCCTGCACCACTCTCCACTCCTTATCGCACGCCCGGACTGAACTACAAACCCCCGTAGACAAAGCCCTATCCCCCGTAGGCCTTCACACTCACCAGCAGCAGCTGGGATGCCTGCTCTTTGCCTCAGCGACCTGCAGGCCAGATCTCTCGTACATTGCGAGCCAGGTGGCTCAGTACTCTTGCAAACCAACGGCTGAAAATCTCCTAGATCTTCAGAGCGCCCTGCAATTCTTCATCTCTACGCCCAACATTGGGCTCTGCTACTCCACAATCAAGACTCCCTCTTTCAATCTCATCGGCTAGGTGGAAGCCGATCATGCTGCTGACCCCCACAATCGACGGTCCAGAACCGGGTTCCTGTTCCGCCTCGAGCCAAAAGGCCCCATCTTCTGAAACTCACAGAAGCAGAAACTGATTGCCCTTTTATTGGCGAAAGCAAAATTCATCGCCGCGACAGCAGTAGTTCGCGAGCGACTTTATCCACGGGAGCTCGTTTAGGAGGTGAAAATCCCTTTTTTGCCAACCTTTCGTTTGCGCTGCAACAACAAGAGCGCGATCAGAGTCGCGTACAAGCCGGGTTTCATCAACATCATCAAACATATTGCATTGCGGTACTTTTTTCCCAAAGACGAAGTTGACAAGGGCAAGGCCGATCTGACCTATTACCCAGCAGGTGACATGGCAGCCGACATCCTCACGAAGTGACTACCCCGTCAGCAGTACCAGCACTGCTCCGAACTCAGCGGAGTAGTCAAGCGGGTCAAGACTTGCTACAGTCAGGAATGAAGGGGGATGTCAAGAATAGTAAATTGAGAAACACTGTGCGCTTTGCATTACTATATAATATCATTTATGCCCTTGTTTTTTATCATCTATGTCATTCTCAATTCACTCTAATCTGGGGTCAACACTTTCGCTACAATACACTCTCCGTGAACCTTCCTGGTGCGATCCTATGCACGATCAACTATTTGATCGCAACAAAATTCATCTACCATATGAATAAAAACATCAGCTATTACAACAACAATCCTGTAAAATGGTTGGTTTGTTCCATGCCAGCATGCATGAGAAATTCATGGGAGTTCAGTTCAGTTTTACTGAGTTATGTTTAAGAAGAGGTTGGGAGTTACAATCTTACAAGCTTTCAGTTGCGACGAGTCCATGCGTTAGCCGCCAGTTTCGCGTATTTCGGCGATCACGAACAAGTCTCAAAATTGAAGGTCAGCAGGGCAGGGACCCGGTTACGGGGTTCGTGGAGGGTGTGGCAGGAAAGTGTCCCAGCGTGGATCAGAAAGACTCGGGCATTTCGAAGTTCTCGTGACGTGGCAATCCCTTATTGCTCATCCAGATAGCCTTCGCTTTCAACCTGATAGCGATGTCGGCACCTTTTTTTTTCCTGCCCTGGAACTAGTTGGCGTCATTCGTGCCTCCTACGAACCAATAGCTGACCTTCGAGGCGGTTTGGTGGCCCGATTCGGGCAGATAGTCGAAAACATTGGGAAAACCATCCTGGGGGGGTCATATTGTCCCGCACCCTCAGAATTCGGTAAGCTCCGAGCATCCCTGTGAATTCATCCACCCAACTGCTCTTTGCTTCACCCGTCGTTGTCACCAAACACACCGTAGCCATGGCTGCCACTGCCGCTCTCTCCAGCACCTTCGCGGGCGTCGCTCTTCCCAGCCTCCCCGCCAGGAAGACCGTCTCCGCGACCCGCAGCCTGAAGGTGACCGCCAGCGGTGGCAAGAAGATCCAAACCAAGACCCCCCTGGGTTAGTATTTTCAATAAATAGCTCAATTAGGCTGGTAGCGGTCCCATAGTGAATGAAAGCAATCGGAGAAACGGTTATTCTTTGCTGACTCCCAACTCTGTGCTTGCTGTTACGCCTTCCGTGCAGGCCCCAGCGGTGACTACAAGTTCAAGGTGGACCCCTCCGGCTCTCCTTCCAAGGGCAAGGGTGCTTTCATCTTCGCCAAGAAGTACGGTGCCAACGTCGATGGCTACAGCCCCATCTGGACCCCAGAGGAGTGGTCCGCGAAGGGTGACACCTACGAGGGTGGTAAGTACTTGCACCTGTAGTTGACATCAACTTCCCAATTTACAGTATAGTAAATCTAACTTACCATCGTTTGATCCGTACAGGCAAGGCTGGTCTGCTCCTGTGGTTCCTCACCTTCGGCGGTCTCCTCGCCATCGGTGCGCTCCTCATCGTCAACACGAGCGCCATTGCCTAAATAGCTCCCATAACCTTACTGTGTATAGGCAAGGTACTTGTTGTAGACCGGATGCAGTCACTATTAAACCAAAAAGAAAAAAACAACGCTTTCTTAACACGTACTTGTTTTAAACTACGGGTCTGCTCTGAGAATCGGCATTACCGGCGACAATGCGTGAAGCTATACCCCGCTGGGTTTCGGATGTGCATCGAAAGCGTAATGGTTCCCTCCCTTATACTGAGGAACAAATAAGGGTCTCATTGTTCAGCACACAAACTGACTACCTTGCGACGTGCAATGACGTTGCTTTTTGCACATCTATTAGAACTTGAAGAGAACCATGTGAACGGCAGTTGCACATGGGTTAGTTGATCCTCTATTGCCAGTGCTATTGTACTTCTATTGCCAGCCCTTCGTCAGACATTGCTTTAGCGAATTGCTGCCGCGCCAAGTAACTTTCACGAACGGTACCATATTTTGCTAGGAATGTGATGACTACAATAACTTTGGTGAGATCCTGTCACATGGTTTGTTGTGCCTTTGTGTTACGGGTGTAATGAATCGAAGTAGCGAGAATTGCACTAAGGTGTCAAACGAGTACAAAGATGTGAGCGAAGGCATGAGCGAACATTTATATGCGAAGCATGCAAACGGTAACGCGGTGCGTGCGAGCTAGATAGTGCTATGCTGGCAGCAAGGCTCGGGCTAGTCCCGAAGCGTAGGCCGACACGGCCGGGCCAGCAGTGCGAGGTTTGGTGAAGCAGTGCGCGCGAAGTCGGCGAAGTTCCGTTAGCAGTAACGGGCGAACAACGGCTGTTGCTGTACGCGATGTAGTCGGGCTCCGTAAGGAATGCCGAGAAAATTCCTTACACTACCCCCCCCCCTCAAGAAACCCCCCCCCCTCAAGAAGCCCCCTCCGCTACGCGAGTGCGTGTATGTCGCGGAATCCCCGGCTCCTCAGGTACACTTGCAGGGCAGGGTGGTTTTCAATGCTGGCCAGGGGCACCCAGCTATCCTCAGTTGGCGTGCGGTCCTTCCAGCGAACGAGGAATTCAATCCTCCTGATTCCCGTGGGGTGTCGAATCCGATGGCTCAGGATTTTTTCGGGCTCGATGATCGGCTCCGATGCAGGGCGAGTCATGGATGGCGGGCGGTGGCGAGGCAATTGGCTTGTGGTTGGGATGTATGGGCGAAGCAAGCTGACGTGGAACGAAGGGCTGATGTACCAGTCGGTCGGTAACAGTAGGTGCGCGGTTACTGGCGTGATCATGTGGCTGATTTGGAATGGGCCACAGTAGCGCGGTCGCAGTTTTGGTACGTCGGGCAGTCGCAGGTTTTGCGTGTCGAGCAGTACGTAATCCCCTGACTGGTAGGTGACGGGTCGGCGGTGGCGGTCAGCGTTGCGCTTAGCGATGACATTTGCTTTTTTAATTGCTTCTGCAGCTCTGGTGCGGGCAGCTTGCAGGATTTCGGCGAATTGTTGTGCACGTGGTGTCGGATTGTCCGGACTCGGCGTCATGGGCACTGTAGGATTTTGCCCGTAGTTCAGGTAGAAGGGGGACTGCTGCGTCGTCGCTGACGTGGCGTTGTTGTACGCGAACTCGATCAGCGGCAGCTGCTGTTCCCAATGTTGGAAACAATCGGTCCTAAGCGCCTCTGTCGTGTCGAAACACTAAGACACAAAAGAAACGAAGTATAACGAATCACCGGCGAGTCAACCCTCGGAGGTTGAAAGTAACTGTTGGAGGTTACGCGAAAGTCAAAGGTCAGCGACCTTTGACCTGACAAAGTACAGCGCGACAGCAAGGACAAACAACTGACTCGGTATTGAGCAGTTGCCCGAGTCGTCACTGTATCGAACCGCAACAGCAATAGTAAAACGGTTATTAACTGTATCTCTTCGTATTCCTTGCACTCTTATAAAAAGCTTGTATCTCTTTGTTTTAATCAACTTACTTTGCCCTCACATACTAGCGCAAGGTGGTTCACAACTCTTTAATTAACGCTTCCGCTACTACACCAACTCTACCCAGAGTTCACCCCTGCAAAGATCCTAAGGGTTTTTCAGCCCAACATGGTATGAGAGCTATCAGGGGGAATTCAACTTCTATACCGACAACATCAACAAGCATGGCTACACAAAAGGAAAGGAGCAACTCCAACGGCTCCCAGGGCACTACTCCTACTCCACCTCCTGCCTCTGGCCTACAGACAGAGGAGGGCACAGCAACAAGACCCAGAGCAACATCTACCGAGACTCCCGCGAATCAACCTGCAAACTTCGACCAGAGCATGATGGAGAAGTTTTTCTCCTTCATGTCCTTCTACGAGCAACACCAGCAATCGGCACCTGCGCAGTCACACAACAGCAACAACAACGGAGCAACACCCATGAGTCTCGACGGCTCATCATATGCACGAGGAAATCAACAACAGCAGCCTACCTTTGCTCCGTACGAGCGCGGGTCTATCAGCTTTATGCCACACCCACAGCCTTCACCTGGACAAGAAAAATCACTGGACGCATTACAAGTTCAGTCGCAGTTCGCACACGTTCTGAAGATGCAGACGTCAAGACCCTTCGATGGAAAGGACTTCTTCACCTGGTCGTTCGAGTTCGAGCTGATGATGGAAGGCGCGCAGATACTCGGGTTCTTCGACGGGTCTCTGCCATACCCAACAAACGGCACACAGTACGAGAAGCAACAGTACACCTATCGTACACGATCCTACTGAGGAATATCACCCCGACTCAACAGCAAAACATAAGGTCTTACCGAGGTTACGGCAACTCCGCGGAGCTCGCGTACAACCACCTGAAGAGCCTGTATCAAGCAACAGACAGCGTAAGCCAAAGTCGGTTAATGGCGCAACTGACAACGGTTGAAATGAAACGAGGGGAGAAAGGAATGGCGTATATCAGTCGATGTCGCGAGTTGCGCGACAAGCTTCTTCGATGCGGAGGGTCGATCTCTGAAGACGCCTTCGTGACAGTCATCATCGGCGGCCTCGGTCCTCAATGGCGCGCCACAAAGGCCATTCTCCGAGCTCACGGAAGAATCTCCGAAGCAGCGCTCTGCGCCGAAATCCACGCCGAGCAGCAAGACATGGACCTGCAAGAAGAACGACACAAAAAGAAGACATCAGCACCGGAATTCGCGTTCCACACTCAGCGACGCTACAACAACAACAACAACCGGCAGCAACAAGCGAAGCCAGTACCTCCGTTCTGCCACATCTGCAAAACTTCAGGACACCCGCGTACGCACTGCCCAAATCGTCAACAGTCAACAACTCCACAGCGACAACTTCGACCTTCAAGCAGCCAAATCGCCTCAACGCAAGCAAATCCCACGACCCAGATTCAAGCCTCAACGACTTCAACGGGACAACCTGCACAAGGAGCAAGAAACATCGTCAGCTGCATGGCAAATCTGAGTGACTCCTGCATCACCGAGTCACCACCACACTACTCACCGGAAGAACAACTCGACGAAACCACACCCCGCCGCGAGTCACTTCAGCCGAACCCGACATACGCCGCCATCGCCCAAAGCGAACCATCCGGAAAGGACACATGGTTCTTGGACAGTTGCTGCGGACAGCACATGTGCTCCTCGGGACGCTTCGTTCAACGAGAACACCAACTTCAACGCGAAGTTGTCATTACAGTCGCCAACAATCAGAACCTGCGAACACGACGACAAGGCGTAGTTCAACTTCAGTCAAGGGAAACAAACGTTATACTGCAGATGTCAAAAGTACTAATCGCGGAGGGACTCGGCTACAACTTACTAAGCGTCAGTCAGCTAATGGCGAAAGGGATTCACCTCGAAGCAGACAGCACCACCCAAGAATTCAAGCTGTATCACGGGAGAGGAGGACTTTACATCGGCAAGGCGGTCCTCAAGAACAACGTCTTCGTTCTTGACTTCGTTCCTGATCTTGGCACCGCCGACAGCGACGCCATCGTTAACTTCACCAACTGGACACACCCTCCAGACCTTGATCCAGACTTCAGTCCAGAAGGCTTCTGGTATTCACACACCATCCGTGAAGCAGAAAGAACAAGGGCGTTAGCAACAATTCAGACAACATCGACAGCAGCAGAGACAACATCGGCAGCAGCAGAGACAACATCGGCAGCAGCAGAGACAACATCGGCAGCAGCAGAGACAACATCGGCAGTAGCAGAACCATCAACGGCAGCAGCAGGAACGTCAACACCAATTGCTGGTCCTTCAACGACACCGCTCCTCATCGACGACACACCACCGACACCCGCGCAACAACTACACCCAGCACCACGAGAAGTTCATCGTAGCGCCAACTTCACCGCCAACTTCTACTCCAACTCCGATATGTACCGACGATCACCTGGACATCGCGCCGACGAAAGCACCTGGCACGCAAGGATGGGACACCCAAGCAACACAGTATTAAACAATACGATAAGAGCAGGAGTACTCGACAATAACTCACTCCTACTGACCTACGGACGAGAACTTCAACGAGTACGCGGAACGTGCTTCACCTGCCCTGAAGGTGACTTACCACATCGACCGTTTGCGTCTCATCACAACCCGAGCGCACCCGCGTACGCACCACTCGAGAAGGTGTATAGCGACATCCTGTACAATCGGGAACCAGGACAAGTAATATACAACTATACAATCACCTTCATCGACGCCGCCACCCGTTACGTCTGGCACCTAAACCTCCCTAGCCGCGACATGGCATTCGCAGCCTTCGTTGCCTGGCTACCAGTAGTAGAGAGAGAATCGGGTGTGAAACTGAAAAGCTTCCAGTCAGACGGAGGAGGAGAATACACCTCTCAGCGATTCAAGCAGTACCTGGCGGAAAGGGGAATCAAGCGGCTCATCTCCCTTCCCTACGCCCATCAGCAGCAAGGTGTAGCAGAAAGAATGAACAGGACCTTGCAGAACAGCATGCGCAAACTGTTACGTGGCATGCGGCTACCCAACCACCAGTGGCCTGCGGCAATGAACCACGCCGTC